CCTTTGCTCAAACAACGTTTGAGCAGAAAGTATTTCAGGATTGCTTTTATTGTGAGAAAGCAAAGTAGGAAAATAATCAGTTCTATATAGGTCAGAAAGGAGGGAAACATGTGTATTACAGAAGAGCTTAAATAATAATTCCAGAAGTCAGTAGAGAGTCAGCATTTTTGGTTTAAGAGAAGGCAAGATGTAAAGGTGAACAATAAATACATAAATGCATAAGGTTCTTCACATGACGAAGATTTACCTGAAGTTGTTCTAAAAAAGACGATAATAAACATAATTTTTAAAAATCTAGTTGATTTGGTTACATGCTTTAGATTCTGCTTAGTCCACAAACTTTATTAATAGCTGCAATATACAACAAAACTGGTGTGACTAGAAAAATTAGTCTATGAAGTTTCCATGCATAGAGGTTCAGAATGATTGAGATATTAAGAGAAAACTTCAAATATTATAAATACTGGGAAAGAAGCGTTGGTTTTGATGGAAAAAAGGTGAACAGGTGAACAGATTGAAGAAGTTTGAAATACACCACCTGATGCAGAAAACATAACTGTTTCTGTATAAACAGTTAATAACAGTCAGTGTTACAGCACCTGATACAGATGATATCGACATACTGCTGGGTGTTATTTAGTCAGCAAGCTTCAAAGGTAGTGACCAGGCTAAATCAGTTTTAATTCTGCTAGAATATTTTGAGCAGTGTCAATACTAGAGTACACACTTAGTTTTCTTAACTCCATTCCCAACATTTTATTTCTATGGTTTCTCTGCAGAAAACATGCTAAAGGTATATCTCTCACTTGGTGGAGAGTTTGGCTAGAGAGAAGATAAAGGAAAGGGCCAAGGAAAAGACTATATGTCAAATTCCAGAAAATTTAGTGAATATTCAGGCCTTGCGATAAAGCGTCGGGCGATGTGAATTTTACGTCGTCCAAGAGCGATTTTGTGTGTAGCTAGGGCTATTTGCGTTGAGCGAAAAAATTTTTGTTTGAGTATATTTAAAGATATTTTTGAGCGGAATTTTAATGAAGTAATTTATGGTTATTTTAACATTTTATTAAAGTATTTTAAAAACCGCACGCAGTTGATATAAAAGTTTGAATTACAAAAAATTTAAATATGCTCATTATTTACAAGTAGAAAAAATTCAGATTAAAAAAAAAGTTTAAATTTTTTTAAGCTAACATTTTAATAAAATTATTCAGCAATAGCAAAGTTGTCGATAAAATTGAACAAAAATACTTTCTTTTAGTTTTAGATTTTTAACTTAAATAATTATTTTACGGGGGTTATTTAAGTTTTAAAATTATTCCATAGATTTAAAAATATTTATTAACTGTTAGACGTATTTACTCTTAAAGTATTTTTAAGAGTAATTTTGAGGAAACATTTTAAAACTGGTAAGCGCAAATAAAAAAAAATAAAAGGATTAATATTAAAACATATTCTACTTGATTCAATAAAAAAGTACAGCTATTCAAGCCTTCCCAGGAAAGGCGTGCGGTTTTTTGTTTTGTATGACCACACGCGATTAGATTATTTTAAAAAACGTTTGCAAGTTTTATAATAATGCTGAAAAAGTTTCAAAAACAAAAAAAAACAAAATTAAAAGAGATTGAAATAGGGAAAAAAAAAAAACAAAAACAGTCTACAATAAAAAGAATGATTTTCCTTTTCTTAATTTTTTTTTAAAGAGAATAATAAAATGAAAAATTGCAATGTGTTTGTAAAATTTATTTTTGTAATTTTAATGTAGCTACAAGAATTGAATTAAGCGAATGCAAAGCGCAAAATCTGGAAAAATATCTAGCATTAAAAATTTTAATTTATACAAAACTGTGTTCCTTGTTTATAAGGGAAGAATCAACTTAAATTTGTTAGCGAAAAAATAAAAAATAAAACAATAAACTTATGATTACAAAAGTAAGAACATTCTAGTCACTAACTGCATTACAAAAGTAATAACACTATAATAGTGTTATTACTTTTATAACGCACTTATAACTTTTAAAATCCATTCTTTGTTCAAGCAACATAGGTATTCCCAAATTTTAATTGAAGTAGAAAAATATCTAGAAGAATTAAGTGGATGTTCAAATAATATTAAAACTAAAGTGATTTATAAAATCGTGACAGACAACTTTATAGAAACGTGTCGTATTAAAAGTTTAGCATTATGAAAAACGTTACTAATGGACCGTAAAAACGCGCGTTAATTTTAAAATTAACCAATAAAAAATTTTTATTAGTTGATTTTAAAATTAACGCGCGTTTTTACGTAACGCTTTTCATAATGCTATACTTTTTATAAAGTACTTTTTTATAACATTGTTTAAGTGATATGTGAAAGTTCCTGAAGTTTTTAATAATATTTGAATATCCGCTTTATTTTTTCTAAATGCTTTTCTACTTTAATAAATGTTTGGAATTAATAATGTTGTTTAAACAAAGAATAAACTTTAAAAGTAATAAGTGATATATAAATTTAATAACACTATTATAGTTTTATTACTTTTATAATGCAGTTAGTGATTAAAGTGTTCTTACTTTTGTAGTCGTAAGTTTATTGTTTTTTGTTTTGTTTTTTGTAACTTTCTCGCAGCAAACTTTTAATAATTTGCTCCTTATAAACAAAGTACACAGCTTTGCATGAACTAAAATTTCAAAGACCTAATATTTTACCAGAGTTTGCAAACGCGATCGTATAATTTAACTCTTGATATAAACTTGTTACATTATAATTATACAAATATATTTTACAATCAGATGACAATACATATTTTCTCTTTTCTCTTTAAAAGAAAAAACACATAAAATATGGGAAAGTCGTCCTTTTTAACGCCTAAAACCGTTTTTTTTGTTGTTGTTGTGACTTAATGAATTTTTGTTGCTGATAATAATAACCACTTAGAAAAAACAAAAATAAAAACAACAAACAAATTATTTAAACTATTATTATTGTTTTCTATTTAAGTTTACTTTAATTTCTTATGCAGTTATTAAATTTAAAACAATTTTTCAGCAATGCATATAATATAACTTGCGCAAACGGATGTAGTCATGTTCTTTAACTTGAAAAACGTTTTCGTGGTCGTACGAGAAAGAAAACCGCACGCCTTTCCTAGGAAGGCTTGGCTATTAAAATTTTTGTAAAAAGTAACTCGAAAAAACTACTTAAACAATAACAATCGCTTTTTTGTTAAAAGTTATCGAAACTCAACGTGTGCTCAAGAACAGCTACTGAAAAATAGAAATCAAAAAATAGATCAATAGTTTTTCGAATAATTTTTAAGAATAATTTTTTTGCTGAAATCTGTCTTTTATACCTATATGATTTTTATTCTAACATTTTATTTTATTTTACCAAAAAGTAAAATTCCTTGTAAACATTAAAAATCTATTCAAAATGTTCGTTAAAGTTTTTTTAGTAATACAAGTGATTGTGCTTATCAACCGCTTTATGAAAATAAATAAAAAAAAAAAAATAAAAAAATATTATATAAAATCGCTAGTAAAAATATTAGCTATTGCACAGTTTTTAATCGTACAATATTAAAATTTCCAGTTTATTAATCGCTGACTTTTTAAAAAGAAAAAATAATTATTTGAAAAACTTTAAATTACATATTTGAGAAAATCAAATATTAGCATAATTTATAATCTTTTTTAAATGTTTAGTTATTATGTTTTCTATTCGTTTAGTAGACAAAACGCGTCAAACATCAAGAAAATAAACCAATGTTTTTACATTTTAAAAAACGAAACATTCCAAAACATTTTTAAATAATAACATTTCTGCATTAATGATTTAAAGTAGTTTTGCGGTAATTAAGTAAATTGGTGCATGTCGATAAATATGAAAAGCAAATAAAAAGAATTTAATGACGTCAAAAATCACGTCGTGCTTACGCGTCGGGCAGTTTTTATTCATCACAAGGCCTGAATATTTAAGGAGGAAGTGGATAAGAATTAAAAAATCTAAGCTACCAATCATATTTGAGTCTACTGAGATTTGGAATCTGGTAGGTCCAGAAAATTGGATCCTGTTAAAAATTCCAGATGCTTTTGATGATGAAGTAGAGCAGTGGAGGAATCAGAAAGCCTTAAAGTTGTTGAATATATTCAAAAAAAAAATTTATTTGACTTGGGTGAACAATTGTGCAAAGAGAACCACATGTCTTATTTAGGACAGAGTAGCTAAACACAAGTCTAACAATATGCAATAAAACTTAATGATTGTGGCCAGGGTATAAACTATTATTATTAAACAATAATAGTAGTTTATACCCGTTAACATTAAATATTATAATGTGAATATAACCTACACCTATAGGAGTGCAAAAAAAAATACATGTACACTCCACTCCTCCCATAAGTCAGTCGATACATGAAAAAACTTTAAAAAGCCCTTTATATAAAATTATTTAAAAGTTTATAATTTTTCATTCCTGAAATACACTTTTTTTGATAAATACTTGTATTTTTATTAAAGAAATGTGTAAAATTTTGATTTTTATTAAAAGCAGAATTTTACTTATTGCTGAAATTCAGAAAGTCAGAAAATGTTTTTTTATATATACTTGCAATCAGGGGACATATAGAATGTAAATAAATTGTGTGCATATTCAAATTCAAAAAAGGTAAAATTATAGGACACCCTAGTGTACATATATTGACTGAAATAAGTACAACATCCAGGGAGTGCGGCTACATCAACTTAGGATTTTGGCTAGGTTAGACAATATTTTGGTTAACAAAAAAATCAGATGTTTTTTTATTTCTTTTTATACCAACCAAATATTGTAAAACTTGTGTTCAATCTGTAAAGATTTTATACTACACATGTATATATGTGTTATATATATATATATATATATATATATATATATATATATATATATATATATATATATATATATATATATATATATATATATATATATATATATATATATATACATGTATTGATTTTGATTTAAATATAACATTTATAGGTTCCAATAGAACCCTCATTTGTGAGGTTTATGCCTACCTACACTCTCAGATGTCTTTTAGTTTCTCAGGTATGAAGTGAAAATTTGAATTCAAATATAAGTTCAAAGATAAAGAATTTAAAATCATTAAAATTTGTATTGGTATTAAAATGAGTTTGCCATTTTAGATTTTAGATAGCGTTTTAGATTGGTCAATTACATTTTAGATTGGTCAATTCATATTATGTCAACCAGACAGTTTGACTTTAGATCAATATTTGTACACTGTAAATAATGGAGATGTGCCAATTACCTCTTGTTGCGTATCAGATACATACCAGGGGATTGGTTTTGGTGACGCTGCAGGTAATTTTTTTTACATAATTAAAAAAAATATTTTTGATTTGTTTATCTTTACATAGATTTTAAAAACATGAAATTTTTTTTGTTTTATGTTTAAGGATATGTTCATTTGTGGGGTAACAGAGCAGAAGATGATGTCTTGTTTAATCATAGCAATCAACTTTCTGTCTTTCCAGATGAAGTAAGTTTACACAGTTTTATTTATATTCCACTGCAGTTAAACACTTTTTTATGTTAAAAGATATGTAGTTTTTTTAAAAGGGAAAGAAAACTAAGTTACAGCAACTTTTTAAAGTTATGTACGAATAAAATTAGTCTTATTCAGAAATCTGAAAAAAAAATATTTTTAGACTTCTGAAGTATTTTCCATCAAAATGATCAGGTTTCTTTATGTTACAAAGGTGAAAAATTACATGAATCAAAGAGAACTACTATTAAAACTTGAAGCTGTCAAAGTGTGCAATTCACACTTGTTGGTTTACAAGTTTGCAATTCACACTGTATGGTGCATCAACTTGTTGGTTTACTGTCTTGTTGGTTCACTTGGTGCAGCATTAAAGCTATATAAATATACTAATATAATTTTTAAAAGTTTTTATTAACGTTAAAGTAAATAATATTGTAATACATTATTATAATTAAAAATAATAATATTTAAAATAATAAAAATAAATGTCTTAGGCAAGCTGAGTACATGTATATGGTTCTTTTTGCTTATATGTGTAAACATGGCTTGCAGCTTCATTTAGCCACTTGACGCATCTTTTAACTGATTGTGTATGAGAAGTCCAGTCTCCTGAGGTTAGAGTCGAGGTAAGTAAAGGTACAAATACACTTAAGTTCCATTTTATAAGGTCTGATTGTTGTTTAACATTAGGATTTTATTTCTAGTGTTCATTTCACTCTGAGACTACCATTTTCAACTTAAGTTACCTCATCTCTTACTCCTGATATCTTTAGTTTAATCAGCTTCTTTTCCTTTCTCTGCATTTTTGTTGCAAAGCATGGTTTGTAAAAATGCTTTAAAATATGAATACCATGCAAACTGCTGGTGCAAAGATATCTACAACATTTTAACTATGAGTTTTAAGTAGTTTTAATTGATACAGTACATCTAGGTCTTTCAACCCAAGTTAATTTAACTTTAATATTAAATCAGTTAATATTAAAGTTGATAACTATTTTTTTCAAGTTCCGAGTTCATAACTGTTCATTAAAGCTTTATAAACTTTTAACTGAGATAAATCCAAATAGAATTTAACTTTAATATAGTTTCGTTTGCTTTCTCAGTTGCCATGTTAAATATTTTTCCAAGTGGTCCAGGCAATTTCAAGAAAACATTTCACCATTTAGATGTTCAATTAAATGCCCTAACCCTAATTCACCATAAATAGTCATAAGATTTTGCTTTTGGTTTTTACTGTTTGTGATATGCAAAATGTGATCTGCAAATAAGAAAAGAAGTGGTCTGCAAATACTTTAGCTTTTTTTGATTATTGTTCATATCTGGAGCAAACTGATTGTTTAGAGTCTTTAGCAACAAATTGATGTTCTTTAATCTAACGAGGATTTTTTACTTGTATTATTGTAGTACTTTTTCATTGTTTGCCTGTCTTAATATTATTTTATTTTCTTTGTTTATTTTATTATACATCACAAAATACATGTCAATGTCACTCCATAGTTTTTAACTATATAAATGACACCAGGTCTTATTTTGTAAATTATAATTAAATTTCTGTTTTTTAATTTTATGGATAAATAAATGGATAAAAAATAAATTGCCGACCTCGTTTCTATGTTTTATGATGAGACCTTTGCATCAAATTTTTTTTACCAACCTGGATAAAGGACGAAAGGAAAGAATAGCTAACACTTCCAAAGAAGTTCAAAGTTTACGAAAGAATAAATTAAATTTTCCTTAAGTATCTGATCAAGCAATTCAAGCAAAACTTTCATGTGTGTTAAAAACTTAAGATAAATGAAAATATGACGCATTAAACAAACTGTTTGATATCACAAAAGCTAGTATAGAGTATGGTTGTCAGCTGAAGATAAACCACTCTATTATCTACAAGTAAAAAGTTGAGGAAAAGTTAGTTATGCTACCTGTATAGGAGCAGGCAAGGAATCAAATCATCTAGGAAATTTTTGCATTATCTGACACTTCTGTTCAAGTTCTATGAATAAAAAGGATATAATCCACTTTTTTTTTTTCTTTTTTTTTTTTAAACATCTTCGCTTCCAACAAGGCTGCAAGCAACCACTAATTAGTGTTGGAAGTTACTGGAAGAGAAAAGATGAAGATTGTAGAGCAAGATAACGATTGACAGACGACTTGAAAGATTGCAAATTATATGAATCAGGAAAGCAAAATGAAGGAAGCGAATTCCAAAGAACTGATGTTCGAGGAAAAAAACTAGACAAGTAAGAGTTTTTGGAGCACTTAGGAACAGTAACAGAAAAAGGATGAGACTTAATTGAATGACGAGTAACACGAGAATGAATTTTAGTAGATGACACAAGAGATGCTAGCTCTTTAGAGCAGTGCCCATTATAGTATTTGTAGAAAAGAAAAAGAGTAGCAACATTACGACGATGTGACAAAGGTTGAAGGTTGGCTGCAAGAGCAGGTCCAACTATGTTTACAATGCGTTTTTTCACCGCATTGTAAACATAGTTGGATCCGCCCCAGATATGGCAACAGTATTCCATACAAGGCCGGATTTGAGATTTATAGAGATATAGAATAGAATCCAGAGTAAGAAAGTGTCGAGCTCGATAAAGAGAAGCAACTTTAGCAGATGCTAATTTTGCAACGGATTTGATATAAGGTTTCCAAGAAAGATCAGAAGTAAGAGTTAATCCTAGAAGATGAAGGGTAGGAGATTCATCGAGTACATTACCGTTCATAAAAATAGGAAGGTCTAAATTATTGCGATAACGATTGGCTGAAAAAAATTGAGTTTTATCTAAATTAAAGTTCACCAGCCACTGTGAGCCCCATGCTGTAGCAGAAGTGAGTTCCTTTTCAAGCTCAGATGCCCCCTGCAAGCAATCAGAAGGAGTTGGCTTCTTATCGTGACAAGAATAAATGTTAGTATCATCAACGAACAATGCCACCTTAGATGTAAGAATATCTGGAAGATCATTAATGTAAATTAAAATGAGTATAGGGCCAAGGATTGAACCTTGAGGAACCCCTGAGGTTACAGAGTAAGAAGAAGATTGCTGTCCATTGAGGACAACTTTTATACTACGATTGGAAAGGAAGGATTCAATAATCTTAAAGATGTTTCCAGATACATCGTAAGAAGAAAGCTTATGGAGAAGACCAGCATGCCAAACTTTATCAAACACTTTAGAAATGTCAAGAACAATGGTCCTCTCCACCTTTATCTAATGCTCGATAAAACCTATCGGTTATTACTGATAGCAAATCAGCCGTAGAACGAGAAGATCGAAATCCATATTGATGATCAGAATGTAGGTTATGAGATTCGAGATGAGAGATTAAGTGTTTGTTAATTAAAGATTCAAAAACCTTGCTTATGATAGGAAGAAGACTAATGGGACGGTAGTTAGACGAATCAGATCGCTCTCCAGAATTTTTAAAAATAGGGATAACAGATGCTGCTTCCCAGCAGGCTAGAAAACAAGACTCTGATAAGCACTTGTTAAATAGTTTTGAAAGGATAGACAACAGCTCTGGAGAACACTTCTGCAAGACTATAACGTGTATGTTGTTGGGGCCGCAAGCTGTAGAAGAGTCTAAGCAGGAAATCACTTTAGATACAGAAGCTGGAGTGATATGGATGTCAAGCAATGGATCAACCTGTTTGGCGGCTATATCAGGTAGAACGCAGCTAGTGGAATCAAGAGATGATATTGATGAAAAGTTCTTGGCAAACAATTCAGCTTTGTCTTTAGGTGAGGTGACAAAGTTTAAACCATACAAAGGAGGTGGAATTACAGACTTGCCCTTATTATTGATACTATTAAAGATTCTCCAGAAGTCACGAGAGCCTAATTTTTGTGATGAAATACGAGATTTCATGGTCTGAGAATAGCGGGCTTTAGCGTTAGACAAAACCTTTTTACAATGGTTCCTAGCAGTAATAAACAGACGTCTGTTTTCTGGAGAATTGTTTTGCTGATAGATATGGAAGTAATGGTTTCGAGTCAGCTTAAAGGTAGTTGTCAGATGTACGATGATAGGGGGATTCTGATGGTAAAGAAGAATGAGATAACAGTTTTAGAGAGACCAAACCATGATCAGGAGCACCTAAGGGTGAGTGTGGAGAAACTGAGCACTGACTAGAATCACAAGCAAGACATAAGTCAAGGAGAGAAGGTAAATGATTCGGGTTGTCTGGAAAGCGAGTTGACTATTTGAGTTAAGGATAGAGAAAGGCAAAAGTAGTGGGCATTAATGCCTGCAGAGTCACTGACAATAGAGCCAAGCCATTCAGTGTGATGAACATTCAAGTCACCAACAACAACAATATTAACAGATGGATAAAGGGAGAGGGCTTGGTCAATATGATCAGAAATAACATCAAAAAGAGTGCAGTCTTGAGATGAAGGAGAGTGATATAAAACAAAGAGAAAGGTGATAGAGTGAAGTGGTGCTAAACGAAAGCACATAAAAGAGTAGTCTGTGGATTCAAACCTAGTTTCCCGACAAATGGGTAAATTTTTACGAATGTAAATGCCCAGGCCATGCATGTGACTCTTGGAGTTTTTACAAATTAAAGGAAGATAACCATCAACACTAAGATCACAAGATGAGACAGAAGAACTCAAATTAGTCTCACAAAGAGCAAGTAAGTCTGATGAACTTTGCAAGAGATAAGACTCAACAGAAGAAAAGTTACTTTGAAGACCACGAATATTGGTGAATGATAGGTTTTGCGAACTTGGTGATGACTTTGGTTTTTTGTGTTTTATAGTTTTTGTTACTTTTCATTTTTAAATTTGTTAAAGAACTTGACTCGAAACATAGATAGTACTCAGTACACTGTTTTATAGCCCAAGCATTTGCTTCACTTCCACTAATAAACCCTATGCCGTAACAAAGGGCTCCAATGTGGCCTTGGCAATGCACACCAAAAGTACAAACAGGGACACCATCCATGCACAACATGGCACTGTTAGTACTCTGATATTTTTCAGCTGTTAATGGAATCAGCCTCTCTGAGAGCTACCACAGAGTTCGGGAAACCTGACTACCAGCTGGCCTCAGAACCATAAAACTGAGTTTTAGAGCTATGCCCTCATTTGGAGATAAAAGAATGAGTTGCCTAGTCATAAAAACAGAGACACAAGCAAAACCCATGCATCGAGTCAAGAAGATCCAGCGTTCAACATCCTAAAATGGAAACAATGTATTAAAAATACATCTGTCCTAATAGATGAAGAAGGGGTGCGAGGCTGGTCAACAGATAGAATCTGTTTACCCCTTAAGTCTTTGCCTAGGAGGCCTTCTACAAGACAGCAGCCGGATGCATTTAACATCTGCCCAAGATGAGTATTTTTATCGAGACACCATCTCTAGCCTTTACTCAACCAAAAACCCCAAGGCAGGGGATGTTTTATGTCAGAGTTTGCATCTCCTAGTCTTTGCCTAAAAAGGCGTATCCTACAAGGCAGCAGGACATGAAGCAGATTGTACTGGGTTACATGTTACCAGCAGCAGGATAAACCTGACCTGACAAAAACTTGTTAACTTTCAAAAATTTTCTAATATTAGTAATGTACATTGCAATTCAAGAGCCATCCTTGCCATTCTTGCGTTTGTTCTTATACCTAAAACAAGGCTAACATTACAGAAAATCTGAAGATTTATTTTGTATGACTGGGCAAAGTATTGGTTTACTAATCAATTTTACAAAAAGGTAGACAATAGTAACTTGTCACAAATACTGACACCCTACAAGGAGGGGTTACAGGTATTGGAGAAACACTGAAAACAGGAACCATCAGCACTGAAAATACCAAGAAACAACCAGTGTGCGGAACGTGCATTAAAAGTAATGTAGTAACTGTATTTAGTCTGCAGAAAAAAAAAAAAATTGCAGTTGAGATTTTTTTTAAGTAATAGACAGTGATGTTCTGATGTATATTAATCATAAATATAGACAATACGAAGCTTATGCTCTAGTAATTGTTAATAGTTAATGACTATGTGTAGTACTATTGTGATGTAATTATTAAGCAATGCATATTGTTAAGTTATAACCAGCAATTTGATATTTTGGTTTGGGAGTGAACTTTTTTCAAAAGATATAGAAATAACTATTTGTTTCTTTGGTTTTGAATAATTATTCATCAAAGTGACATGCAGAAGCATGAGGTTGTAAAAAGGTTATATCCCTAATATATATATATATATATATATATATATATATATATATATATATATATATATATATATATATATATATATATATATATATATATATATATATATATATATTGTATATATAATATTATATATATATATATACAATATATATATATATATATTGTATATATATTATTTTGTATTTGCTAATATAATGCAAAAGCTCTTGTATGTATAAGAGTTTTCAATAATAAACAAATTTATTTAATTTATTTAGCAGAGCATTATATATATATATATATATATATATATATATATATATATATATATATATATATATATATATATATATATATATATATATATATATATATATATATATATATATATATTATTTTAATAATATTTTATAATATAATGTCTCAAGGCAATCATCAGCCTTGCAATACATAAAAAGAAATAAAAGAAAAATCTAATAATCTGTATCAAATTTGCTTTTAATAATTAACAATGACAATGTTTATTGGAATCTGAGGTATAGTGATCTTCAAATCAACAGTAACTTCAACAGTTAACAGGAAATTGAAGGTTAAGTTATACGAACTTCAAGGTTAAGTTATCATGAACTTACAAATGCATTAATAAAAACCATGAAAACATTTTTTTTAAATAAATTTTACTTCATTATAATTTTAAATTTAAATTTAAAACTTTATTGTATTTTTCAATTTTAAATCTGCAAAATATAGTAATTGCTTTGTTGTACCATGTTTTCAAGATAGAAGTGGGAGTGAAAATGTTGGAAATGTTAAACACATGTATTATGTTAATATTAATGTTAAACACATGTAATATGGAAATTAAAATGCTTTAGTTTTAACATAATACATGTGTTTAACATTTATTCAGACCAAATCAACCAACACATCTCACAGTTTGCTAGATCACCAGATTTGAAAGTGCTGTATGTATATATATATATATATATATATATATATATATATATATATATATATATATATATATATATATATATATATATATATATATATATATATATACATATATATATATATATATATATATATATATATATATATATATATATATATATATATATATATATATATATATATATATATATATATATATATATATATATATATATATATATATATATATATATATATATATATATATATACACATATATATACATATATATATATATATATATATATATATATATATATATATATATATATATATACACATATATATATATATATTAAATCCAGGTTGATTGAGATATGTCATCCTGGGTCTCATATTTATCAAAAATGTTCAATTTAACTTTGTGAAGGTTTTTTAGATAGAGCCTCTTGAATCTTTTACTATTGATGATTGGTCTGTTCCTTTAACTTCAATACAGATGCCTGAGTGCTCGTAAGTTGATTTTTGTTTTTTTAAAATAATATTTTGATAAAAAAAATTTTTTAATTAGTTTTGATTAATTAATTAGTTTTTTTATTTTCAAGTACTTTAAAGGGATCCCCAACTGCAGAGAAAAGTAAATGTTAAAAAAAAAACATTTGGGCTAAATTTTTTTGATTAAAACTATATAATGATTGCACACCATTAAACTTAAAATTCACGTTTTAGTTGAAGCTATCCGTCTCCATTTTTTTTTGGTTCTCGGAGTCTGTATAATGATAGCCACAATCTGCAGACTTGATAATTTATTTCATGCGTGTTTAATTCATAGCAGTTTCAGTATATGACGTCAGCTTATAAATTTTTTCTTTCAAGATGTCGTGTTATTTTTTGTCAAAATCACCAAATCATGTTAATTGTATAACTTTTTAATAAATCCCAAAAAAAGTTCATGATGCAATTAAAAATTAAATTTATAAAATTTATATAAATAAAAATTTAATATATAACTAATATTTACAGTAAACATAGTGGTTTAAACTAAATATATACTAGATACTAAAAGAATAATTTTACAAAAGCTTATAAATTGATTTAAAGTATAAACTGAAAAAAAAACCGAGTGACTTGAATAAAACATATAAACTGAACTAAGTAGAAAATAAATATTAAACAACTTATTTTACTAATAACCGATCAAATCAAACTAAATTAAAGTTTAAACAAGTATTTGTACTAAAATATACAAGAAAGTGTATAAAATATAAATATAAAAACAAAGAATTGCATTAAATTGCTCACTACCAGCCGAACAAAAATCTTTTTGTAGCAACCGCTCCTTTTTTTGAATAACATTTGAATAGAACTTGAATAGAAAATAATTTGAATACATTGACAATTAAATAAAATTCGATAATAATAAAGTTTTTAACACGCATCATTAAACAATAAATGCAAAGTGCTTAAAACTATTGTTTTTGTAAGTAGTAACTAAAACATTAAGTCCAAACAAACTAAAAATAATATTTTTTCTTCAAAATACTTTGGTAATTACTTAACTAAATAGTTAACACCTATAAATTAAGTTTTACAGTGTTAACGCTGTTTCATTTTATAACTAAATTTAAAGTTTTTTTATGAAGGATTATTCAAGATTTTTTAACTTTGTGATAACTTTTTTATGTTTTATGTTTTATGTATAATTACACAATATAGCTCTTATTTTTTCTTGATTATGTAGAGAATTAATTAAACCTTCAGAGCAAACAAATTCTGTGTCTAGAATGGAAATTTATATACAAAACAAGATAAATTGTAAAGCATACTCAAAAGCTGTTACTAGTGGCTTGCTATATATATATATATATATATATATATATATATATATATATATATATATATATATATATATATATATATATAATATATATATATATATATATATATATATATATATATATATATATATATATATATATATATATATATATATATATATATATATATATATATATATATATATATATATATATATATATATATATATATATATATATATATATATATATATATATATATATATATTTATATAATTTTTTAGTGTCACAAATATTTTTTGTGATTTAGTAAAAAATTATACAAATATTTGATTTTCTGATTGTAGTAGAAAAAAAATACTTATATCTTTAAAAGAAAAAAAAGAAAAAAAAAAGCGCTATCTTAAAAAGATATTGTGATGACATCATATACCGAAACTGCTATGAATTAAACACGCATTGAATAAATTATCAAGTCTGCAGATTGTGGCTAACATTATACAGACTCCGAGAACCAAAAAAATGGAGAAGGCAAGTTTCGACTAAAACTTTAATTTTGTTGGTATGCATTCATTATTTAGTTTAAAAAAAATTCAGCCCAAATGTTTTTTTTAAACATTTTTTAAAATATGAACACAACTTGTTTCACAGTTGGGGATCCCTTTAATATTATTATATAATGCTAAAAAAAATTTTTTCAAAAGTTTATAAAATGATTAAAACTATGTTGTCACTGTCACAGTTTTACCTATGTCATCAGGTCGTTATGTGAATGAAACAAAAAACAAATAAAAGAAGTTGTATTCAAAATATTATTACAACTTTGAAGTTGAAACATGTTTTTATATGATAAGAAATATCCTTTTTTAGACAACAGTTTTATTATAAATAAATTGATAGTTCTATAATCTAGCCAAAATGTTAGGACATCATTATATTTAAAAAATTTATTGTATTCATATAAATGAAATACATAGCTCAATTGACCTGGGTGAAAATTTTATGAAAGATGGTATAACTATATCATTAATGTCATTAGTATCATATTACCATTAGTTTTTTAGACATCTTTTATTCTTAAAAAACAGCAATAAAATGAAAGCTGACATTATAAAGAAACTAAATGACTGCTTTAATTTTATCATTGTTCAAAAAATAACTTTCAATCTTGTTAAAAAATAGTTGTTTTCACATCAGACTACATAAAGTAAAAAATGTTTAGCAGAACTAAAATTATGGTGTGAATTTTTTGATGTTATAGAAAAAGCATTTCACAATGCAATACTACAAAGACCTGCACACAAAAACCTGCACACAAAAACCTTCACACAAAAGCCTGCACACAAAAGCCTGCACACAAAAACCTGCACACAAAAACCTTCACACAAAAGCCTGCACACAAAAGCCTGCACACAAAAACCTGCAAATTATAAGAAAGATTTACTTGAATCATAAATTTTAAAGTATATTTAACTTTTTTTATAACTAAAACAAAATATTTGCTAAACATATTCTCAAATGAAAGAATATCTAGCCTTATCTTTTTTAAATATATTCAAATATATATTTTTATATTAAATAAATATTTTCAAATATATTCATTTTCAAACTTTATCTACTAAGAATTCTAATAGAAAGAATCTAGTAACTATCTACTAAGAACACTAGCTTCTGGAAAAATTCTATTTACCAGATTCTATACCTGTATTGCAAATTCTTCATTCAAGTTTAAAGATAGTTGTCATAGTGAGAATGCAGTATAACATTTAAAATATTTATCATGCAACAAGAAAGCTGCATGCACCAGAAAAATAAGCAATTTATAACTTCCCATAAGTATTTTCAGTTGTAGACTGGAGTTGTAGAACTGGACAACAAACAGTTAGATTAGATAACCATGTATAAATAGTCAATGTGCACATAATATCATTGCAACCTTTTTTCCAGTTTTTTGTGTTGCTAGAACTCAAAAAAATAAAAAATTTGGTATACTGTAAAAAACATCTCTACAAGAAAAAATCTTTTAAAATAATTGCAAGTTACTATGCTTAATTGCTATTTCCTGTTTTAAAAAATAACATTTTATGATAACAAAAATAGCTGATGATTTTTTTAATTATACTTTACTATACTTTTCAGATTTAACACTTTACTATGTTTAACAGATCTGCAAAATATAGTAATTGCTTTGTTATACCAAGTTTTCAAGATGGTAATGGGAGTGTTGGCAATTAAAGTATCTATATATGTGTGTGTATCTGTATGTATGTATGTATGTTTGTATATATATTATATTGATTTTTTTTATTATTATAGCAAAAATACCTGATGATTTTTTTAATGAGTTATAAATAGACTTAACCATAGCTTAACCATGACACGCACCCATGACTTTAATTGTTGCAGCCATTTTAGCTATAAAAAACTTAAGAGTTTGCATTAAATCTTGAAAATTTTTAAAATTATTATTTTTTTAAAATTTTTAGAATTATTTTATGAGATTTTTTTACTTTAAAGTAACTTTTTCTAGAGAGCCATTGCTGTCTGATTGGCCAGAACATTTGATCAAAAGAGTTGATAGGTGTGGAGTTTATTTTAAAAATTATATTTCATTTCTATTATTTTTGCAATTTTGTCTATAATCATGAGTATATGTGTGCACAATTATAGACCAACACCTCCACTAGATCCTGAAATTTTAAAAAATGTCACCATGCGGCAGTTTGTTGGTTATGCACCCAATCCAAAAACAAAACTAAGAAACCAGGTAACTAAGTAATCTAAATGAGTTACTAAGTAACAGGTAACTGAGTAGACAGGTAACCATTTGAATAAAAATTTTATGTTTTTTTGTTTTACATAAATCTTTTTCCTACTAAATTTTACTCTTTATTTTTGTTTAATCACCAGCTTCAATTTTAAATTCGCCCCAACAATATTTTGCTTAAAATCTTCCAGCATTGGTTTAAATTCAGAAAAGTTGGATCAAAAAATCGATTTAAAGTTTTTCATATTACACATATCAAAAAACTTGATTTATTTGTAATATTTTAAATGGTTGTGTTCCACACAACAAGTCAATATTTATATATCTACTTATTCTTATAAGGAAACTGCTATTTTGTGTCATTTTTTTATTTGTCATAGTATTAGAACTTTCATATTGTTATGAGCTCTATTGGTTCATTATACACTTCATTTTTTCCTTTTTTCCTCTTTCTCTAATTCTTCAACTCTTAACTTTAATTTTTCTTTTTTATAATTGCATTCTATACTCTCATTTAAAAAAAAAAATTTTTAATGGTTATTAAGGTTTTTTTTAATGGTTGATAATAGTTTATTGTTATATGTAATATTATATGTATTGTAAGTTTTACAGAGGATTGTGGAAGAACAAGAAGTTCATGCCTCCTTCCTTAACAATGTAGCTTATCCAGTTTGCACCTGCATAAAACCTCAGATCTCTTGTTGTATTTGATTTTAAATAAAGTTTATTGATTTTTTGTCCAGCTATTTCTTACCAAGTTCAGCATTAGAATAAATTTCTTTAATCTTTAAAAAATTTTTTTAAGGTTAAAAAAAATTTATCATCTATAACCATATGATAATTTTTTTTTTTAAACACTATTTTCACAAATTTTCCTTGGATGGATTTTTTAACTTGAAACAACATTAGTATAACTGATTTTGTATTTAAACTTCATCATTTGACATTTGCATGGTTTAGACTTTCTAACTGTAAATTAAAATAAAAGTTAAACAGTTACCATGCCAACAACTACTTGTATAAGTGTTAAACTATTCAATACTTTGTACAAAATGATTTTAGTTTTTATAAACATTTTTTATAAAAATCTTGTATAAAGTATTGAAATAAAAAGCATTTATGAGCTTCTGTAATTTTTTTAATGTTTATAATTTTCTGTTAAAAATATTATAAAGATTATCTATAATTTTTAAAGGTTGCTTATATTCTTGATTTGGATAATGGATCAAAGTATCCGGAATCACCTATGAGCAGAGGTTATAAGATTTTCATATTTGTTTGATACAATTAAGTTCTTTATCAAAAGATTATATAGAACTTGAATATTTCTTAACAAAATAATATTAAAAAATATTTTTCTTAAATATAATATTAAAAAATAGTTGGCTAAAAATATTTTATACATATATATGTATTTTTTTTTCTGACTTTATTCACAATATATTTAATTAATATTTTAGATGGAGGAAAGTGTGTCATACCAAAAATTTATCAAAAAGTAGATATAAAATATTCAAAATATGGTGTTGAAGATTTCAATTTTAAGCATTATAATCAAACTCCATTTAGCGGCTTAGAAATACATATACCAAATGCTTACTGCAATGCCATGCTACAAGTTAGTTTACTTAAGTACATTGTAGTATACTACAGTATTGTATAGTGTAGTATATATTCATATGTATATATATATATATATATATATATATATATATATATATATATATATATATATATATATATTTATATATATATATACATATCTATATATGTATACATTTGTATATATACTCATATACTATATATATATATATATATATATATATATATATATATATATATATATATATATATATATATATATATATATATATATATATATATATATATATATATATATATATATATATATATATATATATATATATAGGTATATATATTTATATATATATATATATATATATATATATATATATATATATATATATATATATATATATATATATAGATATATATAGATATATATAGATATAGATATATATAGATATATATATAGATATAGATATAGATATAAATGTAGTTATGCATACATGTATGTATATTTGTGTATAGGTATTTTACTTTCTTGATGTTTTGCGTGTTTCAATGCATAATCATCTTTGTCAAAGAGAGTTTTGCATTGCTTGTGAATTAGGATTCTTGTTTTACATGCTTGATGTTGCTGATGGTCAAACATGTCAGGTTTCAATTTTTTTTTTTTAATGTTGCAAGGTTATAGTTGTTTTGTTCTACATTTTCAAAAGTTAAAAAAATTTAGAGTTTAGAATTTTGATGAATTTCAGAAATTAGAATAGAATTTTTATAATTTTAATGTGTGTAAAATGATAATTAAAAAAATTTATATATATATATATATATATATATATATATATATATATATATATATATATATATATATATATATATATATATATATATATATATATATATATATATATATATATATATATATATATAATACTGTTGACATTTATGTTAAATCTTTTACAAACAAAACAAGAAAGTTAAATATACTTGATTAAGTCTACTTTAGTTTTAAATAAGTTGAGATTTTTAACTTCCACTGTTTCAATTGGTAATTTGTTCCAGAATTTGACAGTATGATTTGTAAAAAACCCTCATGATTTCTATTTAATTATTTCTTATCGGTGAATAAATGATATTAGTTACCTCGAATGTTTGAAGATGGACCTGAAAAATTAAAAGAGCACGAATGTTTAGGGGGTATTTTGCAAGTTATTTTATATTATTATCATAATACCATTTGTACATTTGTGTGAGATCTCCTAGTATTCTTCGTTGAATTAAAGATGTCAAATTCATTTTTTCTAGTCTTTCATTGCAAAATAGATGACATAGCTCAGGTGCAGATTTCATTACTCGTTTTTTAATTTTTTCTTATATGTTTATATCTTTTTCAAGATTCCATACCTGTATTGATTCCATACAGATTCCATACTCAACGACTCAATTGCTTTATTGTAATTATTACAGCCACATTTAGAATTTGCAATACAGGTATTGCAATAGTGGCTGTAATAATTACAATAAAGCAGTTTTATTAGTTTACTATCTTTATACTTAAATGGTTTGCATATTATACCAAATTTATAGTTTGCAATAGATAATGCAATTTTGATTTATAGTTCTCATTGTTAGTCAAGAAATATTTTTAAATAAATTTTATTTTTGTTATCAATATGCATGATTTTACATTTTTCAAAATTGAATTGCATTTTCCAGTTTATTACCCATTTTTCTAACATAACAATGTAATTTTGTAAAGCATGTGCATCCATTTCATTACTAACTTCAGCTGTTACTTTACAATCATCTGCATATTACAATAATTAGTATGCATATTGACTTGGAAGATCGTTGATGTATATTAAAAGTAAAATTAAACCAAGCACAGAGCCTTGTGGTACACTGCTTACTATGTCCACCCATGGCAATACACTTTCTCTAGTACAATTCTTTGCTTTCTATCAGTTAGAAAAGAAATCTGCTTCAATGACATAGATGTAATCCATACGCTTCAAGTTTTAATGCTAATCTCCTATGTAAAATTTTGTCAAAAGCTTTATTGAAATCAGTATAAAGGATATCAAATGATACCATTTGCAACACCTGTTGTTACTATATTTATATACTCTAATATATTAGTTGTGCTACTTATACCTTTTGTAAAACCTGATAAGAAAATAATAAATTATTAGTCTTTAAATAATGTAACTATTGATTGGATATTAAACTTTTTAAAGTTTTAAAAGGGATTGAAGTGAAGGAAACTGGCCTATCACTTGAAACTTTATTTCTATTGCTATTTTCAAACAATGGCATTATGTTTGCTGTCTTCCATAAAATACTACACCTTCGTAAATTGATTTGTTAAATAATAACATTAATGGATCAGAAAAAGCAGCTACACATTCTTTTAATACAAAAGATGAATTCTATCTGGTCAAGCTGATTTTCTTGGGTTTATATTATTTATCATATTAATAACTTCAGTTGAGGTAATTCTAAAAATAAACTGTAGTGAATTTAAACACTTTTTTTTCAAAGTTTGGTAAAATGTTGTTGTTATCTCCTATAAGTACTGATTGAAAATATTCAAAGTATCAACAATCTGCTTTTGGTCTATAATGATGCATGCATTAGAATCTTCAATTAATATTAAATAATTTTTCATTTTTCATTTTCTGTTGATATAAATTATGCAGCAGTTTTTGGTCTGATTTTGCTTTTTGTTAGCTATGTTTTTTTTGTACTCTATGGTAGTTTTTTAACTTTATTATATGCTCCTTTTTTTTTCTAGTTATATTGGGAATTATTTAAATATATATATATATATATATATATATATATATATATATATATATATATATATATATATATATATATATATATATATATATACACATAATAACATAACATTATTATGTGATGTCGTTGATTTCTGATACCTAAAAGAGCTCTAAGTTGAATCTCTTTGACTCTATTGGCATTATTTACTAGTACTAAGTATAGTATGTTTGTTTCATGACAAGTGACTCTTTGAAATGATGGATTTAAAACGCATTGGTTTAAAAAACATTCATCAAGATAATTTACAAATTTTTCAGATAGAGTTCCAACTAGTGATGCTTTGTTTAAAAATCATCTAATTGTGTTATAATTAAAATCACCTGTTATGAGACCTGTAAAGAATTTTTTCCAATCAATTTTGTGGCATTTTTTATATTTTTAATTTTCTCATAAGTAAGTTCATTTGAATTTGGCGGCTTGTAAATGAAACCTACTAAAATCTTTTTAATTCCAAGAATTTAGACAAGCCCAAACTTGTTCAGTATCTATACAGTTTATAGTTAGCAGTGTGACTTCGTATGAGTTTATTTGATTTTTTACGTAAAATGCAACTGCTACTTAGATTTTTCCATTTGTACGATCTGCCTTATTTGCTATGCATTCTTGTTGTTCTAAACATGTATGATCATTATGCAATCAAACAAAAATGTATCATTCAAGCTAGTGACTATTTATAATCAATAGGGTATTGAAAATTAAGTATGAAATATGTGTCACATATCTATTAAGAATTATGCCATTTGTCCATGTGTTTGTTTTATTGGGGTGTCCATCTGAAGCATGGTAAGGGTTTATAGGCCAAGGTGTAATATATAATGGTATAATACGTAATTGGGTGTAATGTATACAATGATATAATATGTAATTTTCTATAAGTGTATCAGAATGTTCATTGAACCAAGCAATGCAGATTAAATCTGGAAAATATGTCTTGATGGTGTAATGCAATTCATCTATTTTATTATTTAAGAAAGTGGCATTAGTATAAAAATAATTCAAGTCAGATTTTAAGTCTGGTTTAAATTTATTTTTTAATTTTATGCGGCACTTTGTTTTTAAATGAGGGATATTTTTTTTCAAAACTTTTAACAGATTTATCTAACAAATAATCGTAAATAAATTTAATAGATTGTTTTATATTGTTTGAGCCAAGATAATTATAAATTTTTGCTTGTTGGCAATTTGATAATGTTGTTATTCCAAATATCTATAATCTTTTATATTTTTATTATCTAATTCATTATTAAGTTGATTACGTTTATCTATTAATTGTTTGAAAAAATGTTGTTAAGTTGGAGTTAATCATAAATCATAGTGTATATAAACATTTTTGAAGTAATTAATTTTTCTTAATAGTTTTGCTATTTTAATTACCGCAATCATCTTTACTTTGAAGTTCAACTATTATCAGGCTAGGATTTTTATTATTTGTGTTTTTTTTTAAATGAAAAATTTTTTCAATTTAAAGGCTATCTGTGCCAATCTTCTCAAATACCTTTAAGACAGCCCCTTTATCATCCAATTCTTTTTTATTAATATCAAGTTTGTTTGACTCTGTTATGCCAAATATAACAACATTTTTTTTTTATCTTTTATATCATTTTGCTATCATTGCACTAATAACATTAACTGCAGAAACGTTAGGTTTGTTTGCTGTTTTAACAAAGCTACTAAAACTTTTTATTGGATTTTCTTCTGATATTGTAGAATTTTTTTTCTAAATTCTTAAACCTTTTTTTTTTTTAATGCATTATTTTCAACTACAACTAAACTTTAAAACTTTCTCCAAAACTTTCAATAAGGTCAGCCACTCACAATATGGTCAGCTACTTACATTATGATCAGCTACTTACAATATGGTCAGCTACTTACAATATGGTCAGCCACTTACAATATGGTCAGCTACTTACAATATGGTCAGCTACTTACAATATGGTCAGCTACTTACAATATGATCAGCTACTTACAATATGGTCAGCTACTTACAATATGGTCAGCTACTTACAATATGGTCAGCTACTTACAATATGATCAGCTACTTACAATATGGTCAGCTACGTAAAAAAATAGAAAATAAGAAAGTATTTTGTGTGAGTAAATGTAACTACAATAAAAGATTATTGTAAATTTCAATGCACGCAGCATAATAGGGACGAAGAACTAAAACATATATTTTCTGACTTTTGGCTTCTGGACAACTTGCAAAAGTAAAAATCTTTGAAAAAAAAAAAATTTTGAAAAAAAATTTACAAAAGTAAAACTTGCAAAAGTAACATTTTTACAGTCAAACCACTAAACTACTCCTGCAGAAACCTTATCAAACCATCAATGAAAGTTTACAAAAAATATGAGTTTGTATAGTTTATATAAAACTGTTATAAACATAGTAAGCTAATAAGTTTATTGTTGTAAATACAAGAATGATGCTACTACCCAGCCTTTTTAATGATAAAACATTAAAACAAAGAGTTAAAAATCATTTTAATGAGTCTTTGTGTACTTAAATATTCGTTGGTTGTGTGTTCTATGTGTACATAGAAAACGTTCTATGTGTACATAAAAAAACATAAAAAATATGGTTTCTATGTATACATAAAAATCATATTAATAAATTTATATTAATATCACTTTGATTGTTTGGTTTCTGGTTGCCACAATTTCAAATGGTTTTCAAGTTAGCCACAATCCACAAACTTTTCAATAGCATTCATGTCAGGTGATAAGGCTAGCCAATCCAACAGCTTTTTTGTAATGCAGATACTTCTTAATAGAACAGGCTGTTTGACAAGGTGGAAAGTGAAAAAACAGCTTGGGTAGCAGGGTTTTTTTCAACACCTTGATATAATGTTGCTGCCTCATTGTGCCCTCCACTATATACAGCCTTCCATCACCATGGGTTGAGATCATAGACCACACTGTTACTGATGTAGGATGCTTTACAGTTTTCAGCAGGCAGTTGAGAAAGAATTCCTCACCAGAGCAACATAAAATGCTTTGTTTCTTTTTATTGATAGCTTGGAATGTCAACTTATCGCTGAAGACCTTTTTTCAGTCTTCTTCACTTAAACCTATTTGCTGGATTGCCCACTGTAAATGGTGAGCCTTCTTTGTTGTTCCATCACTTCGCAGTTTACTGGTCATTCTCTGATTTCGCAGGCATTCAGACAAAAGAATTGTTTTGGCATGTCAGTGAAGAATATTTGGGGATATATATTATATTGCGTAATGTTTGCAAAATTAACAAAACAGTTTTACGTCTTGTATTTGAATTAAAAGCATAAGTATTTAATAAACAAATTCGATAAGCAGTTAATAAACATATTTAATAAAATATTCGAATAAAAACATAAGCATTTAATAAACTTATTTTCTATTATTTTAAATTTTGATTTAAATATTAGTAAATCTGTTCATTTAACTTTTACTAAAGGTTATCATTTTTAAAGTGATTTTAAGACGCCTTTTAAATTAAAGATAATTAGAGATAACTTCAGTAAACATAATTTAAAAAATATTCTATTATTTTGATTAAAAACCATTTTATATTTTTAAAAACGTATATTTATATATATTTAACATATATTTTTAAAAACATTAAAAAAAAAATTTTTTTAACTATTAAGAATAATTTAAAAAATTACATTTGAATAAATAAATTACATTTACTATTTATAAATTATATTTACTTTTATAAAGTTATTGAAACTTTTTTTTTATTATTTTAAAAAGAATATTGAAAGGAAAAAAAACTGTCTGAAAAAGTTTATACTTTGTTTTTCGTTTTCCTCAAGTAAACTAAAAATCTCAAGCAAGCTAAAGATCTAAAGTTCATTCATTTAAAAATTAAACTTGAGCGATAGTTACAAAGACTGATATTTTTTACTTTTGTTTATTTATTATCAAAAGCAGTTTACTCTTAATTGCCAAAAACAAAATTTAACCTTACGCTGAATGGATATTTAAAAGCGTTTTAACTTTCGAAAAAGTAAATCTTTTATACATTCCATTAAATTTTGCAACGTGTTTTTAAAATTAGGTTTCGCAACGACTTTTTTTTTTTTTAAAGTTTTGTCCTGTTAAAAGCCGAAGGCAAATCATCGCGTATCAAATACGTCACGTAGTTTGTAAAAAAAGCAATATCTTTTTAATTCTTTTTATTTTCCTGAAGAAAAATTGAGGTAGCTAAATGAAACTGAGAATTATTTATGTACTATTGCATTTAAAACTGATTTTTTTTTTCTATTTTTCATAAAAAATCAAACGAAAAATTAAAAATAAAAATAATTTTTGGGCGCCCATACCAGTAAAACGGTACTAAAACACGTCTGGGAGTGATGATTTTTTAATAATATATTTATAATGCATTAGTTTTATTATTTTATTACTTATATTATTTATATTACTTAATATTTAATATTACTATTACCTACTATATATTTATTATTATAATTATCTTTTATAATATTATACCTTTCAGGACTATTAAAATAACAAACAATAAAAACAAAATAAAATAAAAATATTTAAAAAAAAAAAACTATATAAGAACTAAGAAAATATGAACTTATGAATAAATAATGTGTTTTTGAGTGTTACTAGAATAGTTCAGAATAGAACTGTGCCATTGAATTTATTTTGCCTGAATATTTAAGATATTTAAATATTTAATACATTTTTATAAACTCTAAATAAACACAGCTCTCTAGATAAAAACTGTTGTAGTATTCATTAGCGCAAAGGCTTTTTAGGTTGTTCTGGTAATCATCACAAGATCATTTCTTGCTTGTAGTATATAATGCTTGCTTAAGAAAGTATTCATTACCATCCAGATGTTAATTAACTTATACTATTATTTGATTTCTATGTTCAAAAATACAGAAATAGTTCCATGTCATTTATTTTATATGAGCATTTACTAAGCGCTTATAAATCTATGATTTTTATTAGCTGTAGTGGTAAGGTATCTTTTTTAACTAAGCCAGTTATACTATTGACTTATTTCTTTGCATTAGTTGGTATAAATTTCCAATTAATATTCAAAAAATATTCAAGCAAATGTCTGCTTTTATATATTTTATAGATGTTGTATACGATAATGTTTGATAGATTTATAGTCTTGTATTTATTTGTTTACTAGTATAAATTAAAGTTTTAGTTATATAAAAATCTGATTCGTCAAAATATATTATATATCTCAAAATCAAAGTGTGATAGTTTAAACACCTGCACGTTAAGTATTTTGAAACAGTTAGTTTTAAACTGGTTGAAAGTAAAGGAAATAGGTATAAATCTGATTTTTTTGTATTGTTAATGTTAAGTGGCCTTCAGTTCTTTTTAAAACTTAATATTTGATTTCCTCAGTTCAGAAAAACATCAGTTAAATTTGAATAATTCAAACTTAACAATGTATATTATATATATATATATATATATATATATATATATATATATATATATATATATATATATATATATATATATATATATATATATATATATATATATATATATATATATATGCAATATACATTGTTAAGTTTGAATTATTTAAATTTAATGCATATATATAAATATATATATATATACACACAAACTATTTATTATACATTATTGTATTATAAAATATTTATTTACAAACTAGGCATCAAATTTTTTGCGAACATTTCGCACTCTTCCAGAAGCATCAGCATTGGGCTTGTTAGTCAATGAAAACATGTCTGTTTCATGTAACCGAAGTATATCACAAACAATACAAAATTGGAATCGATTTGTTCTTCGTCAACTTCATCAAGTACTTTATTTTTCTAAGTCTTAATTAAATGTTCTGAATGTTTATCAATTACTAATCAAACATGGTAACTCCATTTTGTTAAATTGACTTCCTTGTGCTAGTAGATTTTATGAGTTTTAACCCATTACTACAAAACTATTGTATGACCAGCATTTTACAATTAAGTTGTAAAGTGCTAGTCATCAACTACTAGTTTTACACCTATATTATAAGTATAAGCATTTTTATTTGTTGAGTTTTTAAAAATCCAGATCATGTCAGGATTAATATCATTATGGTTACTCTACTCCTGGTAACATTTAATTCAGTAAAATATGTCTCATGTTCTGTTGTATCCTTGTAGGATTCACTATTTTAGATAGGACTAGAAGAAGGTAACTCTGGCTTGAAATAACCCTTGCCTTAAAGCTCAAAATGTTAACTGTATCAGGCTTCTGTTTTGTTGCAAGCTTGTTAGAAAAAAAAACTTGTAAGCAAATAATTTCTGTTGAACAGACTTGCACCTCTTCTTCTAATAGGCTGATGTAATTGTAAACCTGTGTTACACTGTTTCCTAACTAGGGTGATGAATGCTAGAACTTTTTAACTCTAATCAAGGATTTTTTTGAGTGCCTCTTTGGCACTGTTTACTCCTAATGAAGGTACAGCCTTAAAACTCATTTCAATGAGACCAGCTGGTACATAGGTTTCCCAAACTCTGTAGTGGTTCTCAGAGAGGCTGACTCCATCAACAGCTGCAAAAATTACAGTTATATAGTGTATTCGGTGTGCATTGTTGAGGCCACATAAGGAACACTTACTAGCTTACTGCTTAGTGTGTCAGAAAATCTCTATAATCAAGATCTCTATGATCAAAACATCTATCAAATTAAAACATGAACAAACAGCTAAAAAAATAATAAAAAGCCACCAAATTTCCACCAAATTGCTTTAATCTATCCTTTGCAAAATTTGTGGACTTCAAAATAACTTTTTAATTTTTATTTATCTTTCTCAAGATTCACTAGTAAGTAAGACTAATTTAAAATCAACATTCTCAGATCATATTTTTTTATGTGCTTTTATATACATAAAATTATTTTTTTAAATTGAATCAGTGTTTTTTAAAAGGACAGATTTGCTCAAGAAGTTTTAAGCAAATTTGCCTTTTTAAAAACACTAATTCAATCAGGATAACATTTCTAATCTTTACTTAACTTAACGCTTAAAGGCAAGGGCTATTTGAAGCCAGAATTACCTTCTAGTCCTGTCTAAAATAGTGAATCCTACAAGGATCCAACAGGGCATGAGCCATGTTTTACTGAAGGAGCAGAGTAATCATTATAATCTTAATCCTGTCATGATCTGGCTTTTTAAAAAACTTAACAATTCCAAATGCACTTATAATAAAGGTGTATCACTAGTAGTTGATGACTAGCACTTTACTACTTAATTTGAATACTAGTCTTTACAACTTAATTTGATGACCAACGCTTTACAACTTTATTTGATGAGCAAAATTTTAAAACTTAATTTGATGACCAGTACTTAACAACATAATTTGATGATTTTACAACATGATTTGACTTTACAACATGATGATGACTTTACAATGTAATTTGAAGACATCTTTACAGATTAAAATTAGTTATAAATATAAATTAATAATATTTAGTTCTTATTAACCAGTTTAAAAATAAATAATCTTAATCCACAAGTATTTAGCATCTGCTTTTTTCAAGAATGAATTGTCCTCACAGTTCTTTTTCTCTATAGTTCACTTTTCAGCTCTTTTTCTTGTAGTTCATCTTCTTTTTCTCTACAGTTCACTTTATTTTTTTTTACATTCTGTTTGTAAAATACTAGCACTTTTTCTGCATCTGACGAATTATTTAAGTTAATTTATTAATGTTTATTTAAAGTTGGCTACTCACTGACCTTAAGTCAGTTCACAAAACTTTATGAAATAATGATAAAGTAACTGACCTTGAGTCAGTTCACAGAACTTTATGAAACAATTATAAAAACTAATTGCTGTACTTCCTGTTTATAATTACAGTTATTATATTTTACAATTATATTTTAATAATATTATTAATATTACTGTTTTTGTTAGAAAATCTGTAGAGTAAAAATTATAAGGAATATGATGGAAGAGATTTATAACAGTTAAAGTTTATTTTTATCTGTTATCGATATTTTTTTTCAAAAGAGTTTATCATTTTTGCATTAACTGTTTCATAATCCAAATTATTACAATCATAACAGACTCGATTTATATAAAATGTCTTGCATTATATTTTTTAATTGTTTTGCAAGTTTGTGATTTCTACTCTTTTTTGTTTTGTCTAATTTTGTCTATTAAAAGTAATTTATAAAATAAAAATTTTGTCTGTTGAAAGTAATTTTTATAACAAAACTCAACAACTATTCGGCATCTTTATGTTAGGTCTCTGCAAGTTTTATTTTTTAATGATTCCAGATTAAATACTTCACGTCTGTTTTCATGTTTCATTTTTTTTTAAGTTTGAATCATTTTTGTTGCTTTTTTTTTAAACTTTTTCCAAATGATTTATAACCTGTTGTTTGTGAGTTTTTATTATATTGTTAGAATTTTTTTTTTTTTTTTTTTTTGTAAATAATGTAAAGAAAATTATCTTAAATTGCAATTTAAAATAAAATATATTGTTATAAACTCTTTTACAGGATACCAAAAACACAAAAGAAAATGTTGAAGAAAAAAGCGAAGAGAAAATTGATATCTCATATATTGTTGATGCAGAAACAGATCACGATGAAGCAAAACAAAAAGTTTTTACTGATGAGAAAGTTTCAAAGTATATTACCAATAGATAGAGAATTTTTAAGCAGATTTATTTTAGATCCTGAGCAACTGAGATTGTGATTCTGAGTCTTTAAATTGTCTTAATGATAATTTAGATTACATTTAGGTTTGAATGCTCCTCAGATATCAAGGATTTATTTGGGATGGACATAATTTCTAATCGAACATGTAAATGTGGCATGGATTCTGAGAGAAAAGCCACTTTATTTTCTATTGACCTCAGTTATCCAGAAGTAACAGACTCAGGTAATTGTTGTCGAAAATAATAAATAATAAGTTTTTTAAAAAAAAGTTAATAAATAATTTTAATAATCTCAAAAATTTAATAAGTAAAATTATTTAAGATACTGATGATGTTTATCCTTTTGTAAAAATTTTAAACGAAAGTATTGTTCGAAAGCAAAGTACACAAGCTTGGTGTGAGAGTTGTAAAAAATATCAATACTCTGTAAGTTGCAATGAATTTATTTTTAAAATGTATCAATACTCTGCAAGTTGTAATTAATTTTTTTTTTTTATTTATTTATTGTAAAGTTATGCTTTCTTGCAATGTTTTTTATTAAGTTATGCTTTCTTGCAATGTTTTTTGTTATTTAAGTTATGCTTTCTTGCAATGTTTTTTGTTAAGTTATGCTGTCTTGCAATGTTTTTTTGTTAAGTTATGCTTTCTTGCAATTTTTTTTGTTATTTAAGTTATGCTTTCTTGCAATATTTTTTGTTAAGTTATGCTTTCTTGCAATGTTCAAAAAAGTTAAACTACTTTCATTAGACTCAGTTTCGAAAGGTTATCTCTGTTCCACCTGTGTTGAATATTAATTGTCGATTGGATAATGCAAAAGAAATTTCTTTCTGGAGAAAACAGCAGGAAGTATGTTTTCTATTGTTTATTTAGCAAAAAATTTGAAAAAATTAATTATTAGTATTTTTTTAAAATAATGATAATAATAATAATAATAAACAGTAACAATAATAAATATAGTAAAAGTTAATAACAATAGTAGTAATAATAATAATAATAATATTAATAATAAACAAAATTTGTAAAATCTTATTCTGTTTAATTTAAATGTTTTAAAATGATCAAATGAGATGCTTGCATACAAACTGCCATACAAAAGCTAATTAAATATAAGGTATACAGCATAACATATTGAGAACAACAGATAAACAACTTTTAAAACTTTATTATGGTGAAATCATTTAAGTTTCAAATAAAATATATGAGCAGTAAAATATAATGAAAATGAAAATAAGTACTTCTTAAGCGAACATGAGTAATAACATGAGTTCTTAAGTAACATGAGTAACATGATTCAGCACAAAATTAAAACCATGACTAGAGAAAATACAAACAACTGTTTGATAGTTGTTAATAAAACAAAACTATTGAATATATTAAAAAGCTGATAAATGCGCCCCCTATGAGTTTGAGTAAAGGAATAAGTGCTTCCTTTCCTGTCTACAAGCTAGGCAGGAAAGAAAGCACTTATTCTTTTTGTTGGTTCCAAGTCAAACCTCATTCTACTTCATGGTTTTCATCTTTTATATTGCTGTTATATTTTATGGCAATCATTTTTTTTTTTATCTTTTCAAAAGAAAAACTCTCTTAAGAACAAACGTTTATTTATTATTGCAAGAAATCAATGCAAAAAAGGTGCTGTCAGATACTAAGCTCCATTATTCCCAGTTCACTAAATCTTGCATCTTATCTCAAAAGTTAGGCTCTGGAGACTTTTGGAAAATCTTCAAGAGTAACATTAACAAAGATCTAATATATCTCTCATTCATGGGAAAGATCTTATCATTCCCAAGGATAAGGCAGAACTATTTGCATTGAATTTTTCTTCTAATTTTTTAATTTCTAATCTTACGGCCATACTCTTCTTTCCATTCCAATTAAACAGGTGAACTAATTGTTAGGCATTCAAATCACTCTTCACATCTTCAAATCTTTCTTTGTGGTCCAGACAACATTCCTGTCATAGTCTTACAAAACTCTCTTAACTTCTCTATAAACTATTTAATAAGTGCTTGACTGAACCTTATTTTCCTACCTTTTTATAGACTTATTTTCCAACCTTTTTATAGTTTTTATAAACTCTGGAGATCATTTTGACCCCTCTAACTATCAGTCCTCTATATGTTATTAGCAAGGTCTTTGAGTCTTTGATCAACGAATTTCTCACATTCCATCTTGAATCAAATATCTTACTGTCAGGCAATCAATTTTCAATTCTCTCGTTCTATGGCTGACTTGCTAACTTCTGTGACTGAAAGATTTTATTGTGCATTAGATGGAAGCAGTTAGACCAGGGCTATTGTTCTTGATCTAAAGCTTTCAATAAGGTTTAGCATGCTGTTTTTCTTCATAAAACTTCTTTTGGTTTATCTTCTTTGTAAGCTCACTTCTTTTGGTTTATCTGGGAAAGTTTTTGAGGTTATCAAATCATTTCTTTTTAACCACTTTATTAAGGTAATCCTTCTAAGCCCAACACTCTTTTTTATTTCAAGTAACTTCTGGAAATGAAAAACTTCTTTTTGATCACTTGGATTTGTATCACTGTGGTTATGTGAACTAATTATGAATTTTACCTTTCGCATACAGCTATAACTAACTTTGATTGAATTTCTGTTGTCGTTGTCGTTTTATGAAATTTATATGAAGTTTTATAAAGTTTTTAACTTTTTAATTTAAAAAGAATATTTTATGAAATTTATAGTTAGAAAGTGTTCAATTAATGCTAGTAAATGACTGCCTATTTTTGTTTCCTGACTAAATGGAGGTTTGTACCATATGACTTTTTGCTTTCAATTTTTGTTTTTAGTCAATTTCAATCTATGTTACTTGGGTATTGGTGTTTCAGTTTACAATTATAGCCACACTTTTTTAAAGCTACTTCGTAAGGTGAGAAAATATTTACTGGCGTAACAGATTATCTCAATTCAACGGTGCCAGGGAGTCTTTTGATAATACTAAGTGGGTGGTTTGAATTACAGTGAACATAATTCAGCTGATTGTCGCAATTACAGTATGGTTGAAATAGAATTGTTATTGACATCAAATTTCACATTGAGATAGTTAACTATTTTCATATTGCATTGAACGGAAATAAGAAGATTGTTATTTTTAAAATTTTAAAAAATGTTTTTTGATTTTCTCCATTTGCTGGCCATTTTTGTTTTTAAATATCACTAACCTGTCATCACAATATAGACCAAAATTATCTCTATTATAATACTGTGAAAGTTGAGATAAAAGAAAAATTCCTTTACATACTTCAGCACCATTGTAAGCGCCCATTGTAGCATCAAAGAGTCCGCCTTTTTTCTTAATCCATGCATCTTGGTTGTTAAAAAGTAAAGATTCTCTTGCAAGTCTTATTAATGTTCAGTATTCAGTATTTTTAATCAGATTCTATCTGTTGACCAACCTTGCACCCCTTCTTCACCTATTAGGCTGGTGCAGATGCATTTTTAATACATTGTTTCCAGTTTAGGATGTTGAATGCTGGATCTTCTTGATTCAATGCATAGGTTTTGCTTATGTCTCTGTTTTTATTACTAGACAACACGTTCTATTATCTCCTAATGAGGGTACAGCTCTAAAACTGAGTTTTATGATTTGAGGCAGGCTAGTAGTCAGGTTTCCCGATCTCTGTGGAGGCTCTCAGAGAGGCTGATTCCATCAACAGTTGAAAAATATCAAAGTATTAACAGTGCCATGTTGTATATGGATGGTGTTCCTGTTTGTACTTTTAGTGTGCATTGCCAAGGCCACATTTGGAGCCCTTTGTTACGACTTAGAGTTTATTAATATTAATGAGGCAATTGCTTGGGCTATTAAACAGTGTACTGAATACTATCTATGCTTTGAGTCAAGTTCTTTAACAGATTTAAAAATGAATAAAGTACTAAAACTATCAAACATAGAAAACCATCGTCATCACCAAGTTCTTTAAACCTATCACTCACAAATATTCGCAGTCTTCGAAGTAACTTTTCTTCTGTTGAATCTTATCTCTCGCAAAGTGTACCAGACCTACTTGCTCATTGTGAGACTAATTTGAGTTCAGCTGTCTCATCTTGTGATCTTAGTGTTGATGGTTATCTTCCTTTAATTTGTAAAGACTCCAATAGTCACATGCATGGCCTGGGCATTTACATTTGTAAGAATTCACCCATTTGTCAGTAAACTAGATTTGAACACAGTCTATTCTTTTATGTGCTTTTGTTCAGCACCATTTAACTCTATTGCCTGTGTCTTTGTTCTATATTGCTCTCCTTCATCTCAAGACTGCACTCTTTGATGTTATTTCTGATCATATTGACCAAGCCCTCTCTCTTTATCCATCAGCCATTATTGTTGTTATTGGTGACTTTAATGCTCATCACACTGAATGGTTTGGCTCTAGTGTCAGTGACTCTGCAGGCGTTAAAGCCCACAACTTTTGCCTTTCTCAACCCCTAACTCAAATAGTCAACTGGCCAACTTGCTTTCCTGACATCTTCAATCATATACCTTCTCTACTCGACTTATGTCTTGTCTCTGATCCTAGTCAGTGCTCAGTCTCTCCACATTCACCCTTAGGTGCTTCTGATCACAGTTTGATCTCTCTAAACTTTTATCTCATTCTTTTTCATCATCTGAATCCCCCTATCATCGTACCTCTTTCAGCTACCTCAAAGCTGACTGGGACTCTTTCCATGATTTTTTTTGTGACGTCCCTTGGGTAGAAATCTTTTGTCTTCCTGCTAATAAATGTGCTTCTTACATAATTTCGTGGATTCAGGCTGGCATGGAATCTTTTATTCCCTCTTGACAATTTGAGGTCAAGCCTCACTCTTCTCCATGGTTTTCCTCACATTGTGCTGCTGCAATTTCCAATCAAAACTGTTACTTCCTTATCTGTCAGCAAAACAATTCTCCAGAAAACAAATGTCTGTTTATTACTGCTAGAAACCATAGTAAAAAGGTTTTGTCTAACACCAAAACCCGCTAATCTCAGGTCATGAAATCTCGTATTTCATCACAAACTAGGCTCTCGTGACTTCTGGAGAATCTTTAATAGCATCAATAATAAAGGGAAATCTGTAATCAACCTCTCTTAAATGGTTCAAACTTTGCCATTTCACCTATAAACAAAGCTGAGTTTTTTGTTAAGAACTTTTCATCAATATCATCTCTTGATTCCACTAATTGCATTCTACCTGATATAGCCATCAAACAGAATGATCTTTTGCTTGACATTTGTATCACTCCAGCTTCTGTATCTAAAGTGATTTCCTGCTTAGACTCTTCTACTGCTTGTGGCCTGGACAACATACCTCTTATAGTCTTGCAGAAGTGCTCTCTGGAGCTCTTATCTATACTTTCAAAACTATTTAACAAATGCTTATCAAAGTCTTGTTTTCCAACCTGCTGGAAAGAGGCATCTGTTATCCCTATTTTTATTTATAAGTTCTGGAGAGCGATCTGATTCGTCTAACTACCGTCCCATTAGTCTTCTTCTTATCATAAGCAAGGTTTTTAAATCTTTATTTAACAATCACTTGAACTTTCATCTTGAATCTAATAACTAATAAATCTAATAAATTGTTGCTTCTCTTTCTCTTTTATACACATACTATAATGGGCACTGCTCTAAAGAGCTAGCGTCTCTTGTGCCATCTACTAAAATTCATTCTTGTGTTCATCATTCAATTAAGTCTCGTCATTCTACTTAACACTCATCATTCAATTAAGTCTCATCCTTTTTCTGTGACTGTTCCAAGTGCTCCAAAAACTCTTATTCCTTTAGTTTTTTTTTCTCGAACATCAGTTCTTTGGAATTCTTGCTTTCCTGACTCATATAATTTGCAATCCTTGAAGTAGTCTTTCAATCGTTATCTTGCTCTACAATCTTCATCTTTTCCCCTCCAGTCTCTTCCAACTCTAATTAGTGGTTGCTTGCAGCCTTGTTGGAAGCGAAGATGTTTAAAAAAAAAAGATGTTTTTTGGCAAAGTTGATAGCATTTTTCACTTTTTGAAGGATAAAAATCATTGATGTCAAAAACTAAAAATTTCTAAAGATGTTTATCCTTAATTTTCAAAAACCAGTCAGCGACATGTAAAGTGCTTTGTCATTGGTTAATAAATAACTTACTTTAAGTGCTTTGTCATTGGTTAATAACTTAACTTTAGAGTTCTATTTTAATTTTTGATAAAATAATTTTGCTTATTCTTCCTCATCTCATGTTTTATCATCCTTTACCACTATTTGTATGAACTATTTAATTTTATGATATTTCAAGGTAATATGGTTGATTTTTTAAAATTCCTTTCTGAATGGTGTTGTACCACTTTGCTTACATGGCATAATTAAAAGAGATTTTCAGTTTCTAATAACAGGTACATATAGTCTTAAAATAGGTCACAAAAATACAATTAGAAATTTTCAAGTTAAACCAAATTTATGTTGTGACCCTAATATTATCAATGGTGCCTTCATTGGTTTTATCTATAGACCGTTACATCTATGTAAAATAAAGTAAATTTGATGATTAGTTGTTGTTTCTTGTTGATTTATTTGTTGGAAATGGCTATGAGAGGAAAAATCTGGAAAAAATTATCAAATCTAAAAAAGTCAACAACAAAAAAGATATCACGAAAAAGCAATATTTCTCAACTTCTCAGAAAAGTTTTGTTTTAACCATGAATTCCTGGAATCAGTCCTAAATTAGCAGGATATGCAACAGTGTTTAAATCTCTCAAATCTACTTAGTTCCAAAAACAAACCAAAACTACCAGTTTCATACACCAGTATACACTAGTTTCATACACCATAAAAGAGTGCTCTTGTGTCAAATGTTATATTGGTGAAACAAAGCTAAAGGTATCATCTTGTATATGCCAACATCTAGCAAGTGCACAAGGTAAACGGGAAATTTCAGCTAACCAATTTAGAACTTGCCAATAAAATTTAGAGTTCGTCAATGAAACTTTAAAAAACAATTAATAACTATAACAGGAAAGTTAAGAAAGCATTGGAAGAACAATACATTGAAAGTACTAAACCAGGAGGATGGCAATTATGTGATGTTACAATTTTGTCACAAAAAATACGTATAAGATAAAAATTTAAAAATTTTAAAAAGAACATTTTGTAAATTTAGATGGTTTTCTATAATATAAGGGTTTTATATATATAACGTTTTTTGATATACTTGATGACGAGAGTCACAATATTTCCTCAAAATATCACAAAATTAAA